CTCAGGGCAGAGCAGCATGGATGCGAAACAAGGTACAGCGGCCGCAAGACACTCAAGCTCAAACTGTCTATCCTCAAGTACGTCACTGACAAGGGCAGGCTCACCTCTGACGGACGGAGGACAGACAGACTCAGACTCAGTAACAAGGAGACGAGAGTGGATACCGCGGAGACGCAGTAGGGAGGGGTGACCGAGGCGGTGGTGCCAGAGGAGAGTCTGGTGGGAGAGTACCCTACACGAGCAAGACACTGCAAGCTGACAAGACGCAGACACCTGACTCGACGCAGCCACCTGACTTGCCACAGCCACCTGTGCTGACGCAGTGGTCAGTGTGTACAGACTAGACCCAGGCCGTCGAGTGAACGTAGCCAGGTGACGGTCAGTCCGGGAGCACGTATAGATCGCCACACGTTGCCCTTCCAGGAATAAAGGTATCAATTGAGACATCCTGAATGGCAGCGTTGCTCACCAAGTTCGTCGAGAACGTGGGGAGGTGGAGACCTGACAGAGAACCGGAGGGGACTGCTGGACACGGGAGGACAGTGGAGGCTCGTGCGACTACTGGGCCCCCAGTGGGGTCAGCCAGTGAGACCAGTACCGGTGCAGCAAGTGGTGTGAGTGTGGTGCAGTCACGAAAGAAGCAACGTGACGCACCTGAGTCAAGTGTGAAAGAGTGCAAGGCCTCAGCTGAGGAAGGACCTGTGGCGGGAGACGCACGAGCACCTAAAGCTGCAGCAGACTCACTAGCACCTAGTGCTGCAGCAGACTCACTAGCACCGAGTGCGGCAGCAGACTCACTAGCATCTAGTGCAGCAGCCTCGACAGAACCAGTGACACATCGCTGAGGAAACAACTCACTAAGCACCTGAGGGGAGAAGGTCTCCTGCAGAATCTGCTGCCACCTCTTTGCAGTACGTAGAAAACCAAAGCCTCCACCACCTGGACGGGCTCGCTGAAGAACCCACTCGCGAAGCTGCTGAGGGGTGGTGTCGTCCGGGAGAGGCAGTGACCGCCGCTGTCCACCCCTAGCCGCTGCAACTGCCGTGATAGTGGCCATGACAGGCAGTGACAGTCAGTAGTAGGTCCAGCACCTCCGGCACCAGCAGCACCTCCAGCACTCCCAGTTGCACCTCCAGCACCCCCAGCACCAGCAGCACTTCCAGCACTCCCAGCAGCACCTCCACCAGCAGCAGCAGTAGCACGAGCAGCAGCAGCAGCAGTAGTGGCAGCAGGGCGGCTCGGTGGGGCTGGTGATCAAGGTAGGGCGGCGCGGCTCGGGTTGGGCAGGGCGGCTCGGGCTGGGCGGCGCGGCTCGGCCGGGTAGGGCGCGCCGCGGGCTGCAGGGCAGGGCGCGCGGTGGACAGGGCAGCAGGGCGCGTGCTGTGCAGGGCAGCAGGGCGCGACGTGTGGGGCAGCAGAGCGCGACGCGCTGGCTGCAGCAGGGCGCGACGTGAGGGGCAGCAGAGCGCGACGCGCTGGCTGCAGTAGGGCGCGACGCGCAGGGCAGTAGAGCGCGACGCGCTGGCTGTAGTAGGGCGCGACGCGCTGGCTGCAGCAGGGCGCGACGCGCAGGGCAGCAGAGCACGATGCACTGGCTGCAGTAGGGCTCGACGCGCTGGCTGCAGCAGGGCGCGACACGCAGGGCAACAGAGCGCGACGCGCTGGCTGCAGTAGGGCGCGACGCGCTGGCTGCAGCAGGGCGCGACGCGCAGGGCAGCAGGGCGCGACGTGCGGGCTGCAGCAGGGCGTGACGTGCGGAGCAGTGGAGCGCGACGCGCGGGCTGCAGCAGGGCGCGACGTGCGGGGGGCAGGCAGTGTGAGTAGCTGCAGGGCAGCTCGACACTGTGCGAGCAGGGCCGGACAGCGCAATGGCGCTTCGGGCAGGAACGAGCGAAACTACCGTATCGGTGGGCCCTAAACACTTAACAGGTTTCCTGCTCTGAATACCATGTCAGAATAACTGTGCAGGAATGATTGGATTAGCAAGAGTTGGGGTACAAGTACTAACCCTAGAAGTGCTGGACTCCATAAGGAGTGCCCCACTATAGCCTACAAATAAGATTGTACTTTGACACTTGGGGTTGGGGGGCAAGGTGCAAAGGAACATGGGTTCTGAGGGGCATCTTTAGGGCGGGGTACTGGTTTGTTGTTGAGTATCATTGTCAATCCGGGCTGTTTAGGGGGTAGTTATGCTCGATGTTCCATGCTGTATGTAACTACATTCTAAAAAAAAAAAAAAATGGAGTGGTGGAACTGACAGAGTGTCTGAAGTTGGAGCAATCAAGCATCTAATTAGTCTCAATTGCAAGCCACACAATGCAGGCTGATATTTGTCATCCAATGTAAAGCTATGTTGCATAATTCTTAAGATTTAGCTTAGAAAGCATGTGATCTACGGTAATTCACCAGCTGAAAATTCAGCTGCTCAAGCCTCTTAACTAGCATTCCATGGAGCCTCATGCGAATACAGGTGTTCAACCCGTGATGACTGAACGTGGGATCACTTCTCAAGGTCTCCCAGGTCTGCAAGTACCGTACAAGGAAATAAATTAACCCATGTTGGAAGTAAAAGGGGAATCGTATGTGGTGGTGGGATTGAGACAGGGACAAAAGGATTGATGAGATTTGGAGGGGTGGGAAAAAGAGGGAAACGAGGGTGTGCGGGGAGACAAGACCAAACAAGCTCAATACGGGGGCGGGACAAGGACCAAGGGCAGGAGATCAGAATGTGGGTCGGATGAGAGATTCGAAGAAAGGAAAGGCTGGGCTTGTGGTTGGTGCAAGTGCACGAAAGAGTCACTTACCTTCATCCTCCTCGTCCTCATCCTCATCACCACCAAGCCCAGCACCTCCGAAATCAGCACCACCAAAATCAGCACCTCCAAAATCACCACCTCCAAAACCACCACCAAAGCCGCCAGCACCACCGAATCCACCAGCACCCTGCATCTCAAAACAGAACGAAGCATGTCAAGGAAATTCACAAGGATAAATGTGCTGCATGCACGCATCCAGTTCCACACACTGAATCAGCATGTACAGAAATAAACAGAATTTATGTGCAAATGTTGCAATATAGTTGATCACAGTGTTTAAAGTGAGCTAAAATGGACCATAGTGCCTCACCTGGAATTGTTTCATGAAGTCAGGGTCCACTGTAAAAAACAGAAGTAACAAAGAGAGGGTGGAGATTTAAGAGTTAAAAGGGAGCAATATGACATATGAAGTTTCAGGGGGTGTGGAGCGATATGACATACCAAGACTCTACACAACTGTGAAAAAGCGTGTGACAGAGCATATGTAGCACAGCAATTGCTTGGACCGATCAGCCATCCAGGCGAGACGCTTCAGCAACCATGGCCACGTAGAAGTTGATTGTCATGCTATACCATTGTGCCAAAAAACACAAAACGTGTTTCCCTTCGTACTGTTCACCTCGTGTTCTTCCATTCTTTAACCTGTTCACGATCCAACGCGATCCCACTTGTACTCACATTGGTTAGCACTTGACTCCTCGTCTTCATCAACCCACTTGTTCCAGTCAACCTTGAGGAACGGCGGAGCTCGTCCTGCAGCCTTGATCAACCGCGGCCACCATTTGGCCTCCGCCTTCACCACCATGAATAACGTGTGCCGCGACGTGCTCACCACTTTGCTCTCCTGGAACGGATCGTCAGCACGGAAAACGAGAAGTTGCGTCAATAACGTTATAACGTACCCAATCGCCAAGGCTGGACTAATGACCAAACGGAGTACCTTCCAAAAATAAGATGTGGAGCCAGATGACTGGCATAAAGTGCAATTGAGGGTCACAACTGAACGAGTCTGATCTATGTTGGCCGAACCACGCACCTCGACATTAATTTTATCGAACAGCTCAAGATCGACGGCGAAGTCTTGATCGTCGGCTCCTGCTTTAGCTGAGTACGATAGCTTCCCCTCTGGATCTAGATTCGTCTCGATGTTGTTAGCGTCAGGGAGCTCGACTGTGATGATAACGCTGTCTGACCGTTGAGCCCAGATCACCTCTGGATGGCGGCTGCACAGACCAGACGCAGGTTAACGTCAGTGCGAATTACCGTAGAGTAAGTTACATGATAAACCCCACATGATCGAACCTATACGCACAAACAAAACCGACCAGACGAAGATGATTATATTAATCTGTGGTGCAGAGTCAAGACGTAGCAGGCACAATTCCCGTACCCCATGGTGGTTTGGATGAGAGAAGAACGAGAAGTTCAGATGTTGGGGACCGATCCGAAGCCTCGAAGAAAGTAGGAAATCAGGATCGCTGCTCAAAGAGTCTAGAGTGACGTTGCACTTCTGAAGGTAGCGTTAGTGACAGCTGATCACAACGAAATGGTGGCGTTGCAGGGATCTTTCGTCTCGCAGACTAACTGAGGGCAGGAGGACGTCCTAGCGACCAAGAATCTCGAGAGAATGTTCGGGAGCCTAGAAATATTAGTGCAGGAGAGGTGATTAGAGCATCGACTCTCTAATCGGGATAAAATAGTATGCCTTGCAAATGGTAGCACAAGTGCTGGTGCGAAGGGGAGAGAGGAAGGCAGAAGAGATATTTCTCGTTCTGTCCGCTTGGGTCTCCAGGTGGTTCTGGAACTTGCAGAGTCAGGGGAAGGGGCGTTGCTGGAGAACAGATGGCCACTCACATGCTGCCACGTTGGGGAAGAACGTAAGAGGCTTTCAGTTCGGTCGGCTGCAGTGACTGCATAAGCAGGAAGTCAGTGATTTTATACACAGAAGGTCGGTTTATCAAACCTCTTCAAAAGCACCGCCCCGGACCGCACAAACCTCTTCTGTCTACGCACCGCAGCAATTTCGAGGAGATACCTAAAGGTGCAACGCCGGAACACGCAGTAACGAGGATAATCTGCTCTTCGCTGATCAGTTGCTGAGATCCCTAATACTTGCATCCTGATCCGTCTTTCGTCGTAACTAGCTGCTGTCGATTACCTTCGTCAGGTCATCACAGTGAGAACATGGCGGTAAGTTCTTTTTCCGTTGTCTAAGTCTAGAGATGGAAAATGCTCAAAGTCTGCTTCCTGATGCTTAATCTCCTCTCTTTCGTTCGCGTTTCCGCAGACCGTTCCAGTAAACCCTAAGCCGTTTCTTAACGATCTCACGGGGAAGCAAGTCATCGTGAAGTTGAAATGGGGCATGGAGTACAAAGGTGAGTGCTTAACAAAGAACGTTGTTTGTGTCCTTCGGACTATCCGTTTCTATCCGATGACCTAATTGCGTCGTTTGACTCTCGCAGGCTATCTCATGTCTGTCGACGCCTATATGAACCTCCAGGTAAACCAGAACTTAACATTTAGCCTTTTATAACGGTAACAATACGGTTTTATCGGACTCGCATCAGGTCATCGCAATTTTAAAATTAGTCTCAGCTGTGATTCGTCCGTGTGTTACGTTGACGGCGTGTGCAGCTAGCGAGCACGGAAGAGTACATCGACGGTCAGTTCATGGGAAGCCTTGGTGAAGTGCTCATCAGGTGCGCTCCTCGCTGCCTCGCATGCTCCTTCGCATTATGCTCCCTGCTCCTTCGCATGATGCGCCGTGCCTCGCATGCTCCTTCGCATGATGATCTTCATTTCATCGGTCGTTTTCGCACTGACTTGCTTCCATCCTTGCTGCCATCAATGTCATTAAGGCGAGCAGCCAGCCCACTTCAGAGTCCTCCTCTACCTTCCACTCGCCTGCTTCCCTGCCTTTTCATACAGTCCGCACATTCCACAATCCAACTAATAGTTCCTTCAACCCGTCCCATCCCGTCCCGCCCTTACACTGATTCGTCTCTGCGAAAGTTACCTTGTGATTGAATGTGCTGACTGGCTTTCCCTCCCTCCCCTCCTTCCCCGGCTGGAATGGTCTGGTTGAGTGTGTGTTATGCATGAATGTTCCACATGCTGTGCTGAATCGGTCTGCGTTCCGTCTGCATGTTGTCATGTGAACCAACCAACCCGCGGGCGCGCAGATGCAACAACGTGCTGTACATGAGAGGCGTGCCTGAGGACGATGAGATCACAGAAGCACAGGAGGAGGAAGGCTGACAGCCAGGAAAGAGAGAGACGGTTAACACGCCGAAAGGCAAGGTACATCCTCTTCGTCCCACAACTCCAAACCCCACCTTCCCCCCCTTCCCCGCCCCCCATGCCACCCCTCCCATGCGCATAGCCTCTCCCATCACCTACCCTCTCCCATGCACCTTCCCTCTCCCATGCCCCTGCCCTCTTCCATATACCTAATCACCCTGTGCCCTCCCCCATTATGTGATTAACCCACCCATTTCCCATTCCCCTCCCCTTTCCCCCCCTCCCCCCTCTCACCATTCAGCTTCATTTCTTGATACCTGTTGCGTTTCACCTTCACCCCCCCCGCTTCACCACTTGTTGTTTCCACTTCCTCCACTCGTTGTCTTCCATCAACCCCTCTTCCAAATTAACTCATTCCCTCACACCTGTTTAAGGTCCAGAATCGTAGTTCTTCGCCCCGTTCATAAGATGCCCCATCTTTCCATTGCCCATGTTGCATTTGTCCATATTTGTCAGCTTTGTAAGGCTCTCTGCGGTATCTCACGTCGATATCTTCTTGCCACACTTTCTCGACAGTCGAATATGCTGAATTCACCCCTGCAAGGTAGACCAATATGGTAAGGCAACGATGTAGGGGACATGTGTTAAGACTAACATATCTAGGGGCAGCATCTGCGTTTCCTGTAGTTGCTTGTAGTCGCCATACAGTGTGGCTTGAAGCCTGGAAAAAAAATAGCAGGGGATGGCATTGTGTGGCATGGCATGGCGCCCTCCTTCGTAAGATGCCCATATAAATTTGTGTTCTGATTGTTCTGTGCTTGGACTGGACACTGAAATCCAGTGCTTATCTGCATTCTTACCACTTCCAAGCATGCACTGTTGAGTGTGCTCCCAGTTTGACCGGTTTCTGTGTTCCATTGTGGTTTGAAAGCTCGGTTACCGTAACTTGGCCTCAAATACAGAAGTACGGTAATGTGATATTGTTATATCTATTGTTTGACGGTTTTGTTGCAAGATAGGCTCTCTGTTTAGGTAGAGGGAACAAGTAGCTGCTTTCCTTGTCCTAGAGGCTTCATTCGGCAAGCATGTACTTCCGTAATTCTATAAGGAGGCAATTTGCCGAGGATGAGAACTGTGGCAATATCCATGCCACGTAGTCAGCTTTTCGGGCAGCTTAAAAGTGGATACTGGATTATTCTCAGAAGTCGATCACAGTTCATCGGACGGCATTCAGCTTACCATCGTGGTGTAGGGGCAGCAGTAAAGCAGTGATGCTGTACATCGTCAACAAACCGAGTCGCTAAAGCGACGCCGCCCTCCCGTGACGCCTTCAAGTAATGGCTTATTTCACTGGACCAGCCCGATGCAGACGATGAATTGTTAACGGCAAACATCGACTTCGCACTATATATGATATGTTCGAGATGGTCAAGAGCCGGAAATTCAACAATGTAATTATCGATCGTCATAATGAAGAAGGTGTACAGAGCAGAAGTATCATGGAAAAATATTTCAGACTGCCCGTATATTCGGCATTGATGGTCAACCGAGCCGCGGCCCTCATTGACCAGAACCTCGGCGCTTCACCTGAGCCTTGATGGGGGAGGAGCATCTGGGGGGTAAATTTTCGAGAATAAATTGGGGCTGGAAATCCAATCCAGTCATTCACTTCCAAGCGTCGTTTCAAGGTTCAATCCCCTGTCTACCCTTCTAAATTTCACCATGGCACCAATGAAGCTCCTCGCTCTTCTGGTCGCGATTTCGGTCGCCCTGCTTGTGCCCTCCGCTTATGCGGAGTCCAGCGCCATCGCCACTTCAGGTGGGTACCGTCATTCCGCTGCTGTGTCTGCTGCGGCAAAGTTGTGCTGTTCTTTTTCGTTCGTTCTTTTCTTTTTGTCAATTCTTTTATTATTTTCTTCGAAATGAAGCCAATTCTGACGCACAGAGGCGTTTTATTGCACGATCCGCAGATTTTGACGCCACGCTCGACGCAAGGCGCTTCTTGGGCGACGACCACCACCACGACGACGACCATCACGACGACCATCACGACGATCACCACGACGATCACCACGAGGAGAAGTCCAAGCCCAAGCCCAAGCCCGAGCCGGAGGAGCCCAAGCCGAAGCTGACGTGCATTCAGAAGTACAAGATTAAGTACGCCGCGTGCGACACTAAGGAAGAGCAGTGTGTCGCGAAGGCGGAGGACGCCGACGAGAAGGAGATGTGCGAGGCGCAGTCGACCATGTGCGAGCGCAAGGCGTACCGTTCGTTCAAGAACTGCAAGTACGGCAAGTGGGGGTGCAAGGACTGGTGCCTGTACCGCCGTCGCCAGTGCCTCAAGTGGTACAAGGCCCCGATGTGCGAGGAGAAGTACGGGGAGTGCACTGAGGCGTGCAAGCCCAAGCCCAAGCCGTCACCGGCGCCCAAGAAGGAGCACGACGACCACCATGATGACCATCACGACGACGATCACCACCACGACCACCACGACGATTAGGTGGCGTCTTTTCGAACGATTCCTGTCGATTGCACGCCCAAAGGACCTCGAGGGTGCGATGAGCCAGGACGAGCAACCTCACACGAAGGATTCGCGGGAGCCTCTTGGTGACACTCACAAGGGTGAACCTGTGACTGCGAGGGAGTGTAACCTCTTGTTATGCTGCTTCTTGAGTTCCGCTGCTACGATTTTCTGCTATCCTTCTTGTGTGGGTTGCCTTTTTTCGCCTGTGCGGTCACGGGGATGCGTTTGGCAAGCTTGGCCTGGGATTTATTTGGAAGGGTGGTAGAGGGGATAGGGGGGTTGAGTGGACTGTGTGTGGTAGTGGGGAATAATCTGTGCTTCGTTGTAGTGATGATATTTGCAACAATTATGGGAAATCTATACCTTTCCACATCCCTCAACACCCCCCTCTCGACTCAATTCCCTGGATCATTAGAACATGGGAAAGGAAATATTGGCAAGAGCTGTACCAAAAGGCTGCGTATCAAACCTTCTTCCTTTCAAGATCCCCCTGCTCCTTCATTCTCTCCTCCCCTCCTTTTCCACGTCATCCTCATCTCTCTCTTCCTCCTCCCGACAAACTTCCTCCTCCTCATCCTGATCATCTCCCTCATCCTACTCTTCCTTTCAAGACCCCCCCTGCTCCTTCATTCGTACAACGAACACTCTCTGCTCCTCAACTCCCCCCATCTCTCCTCCCTGCCCTTCCCCCCAAACAACTGTATCAATGCCACCTTCCATCTAACTTGTTACGAATGGATGATCTCCTAACATCACCTCCTGGTCTTATCGAGTACCTCTATGTGGGAATTAGGAACACCATGCACGTCTACAAGCAGACGAGCCAACTCATCCAGCACCGCTCCCTGAATCAGCACCTCGTGCTGCCCCATCTTCCCTGCTTCACGTGCGTGGGTGCAAGGGTGCATAGACGGAGAGGGATGGTAGAGAGAAATGCGGAGAGTCGCTCTACAACGGTAGAAGACTACGGTACATGGGAGGTTACGAATTGTACGAGGTGATCGCAGCGTTGCATACGTTAGCACTACTTGTTGTGCTTGTAGGTTAAGATGGCAAGATTTTCATTATAAAAAGTTGGAACAACAAGCATATAATGGCAAGAAATTCGGTACACCTAGGAGGGCATTGCAACACACCGAGCAACCTAGCAAGGCGACTTCCAGCGCAGCACGAAGGCGGCTTGCCAACGTAGAAGGAACACGGCGTGCCAGCGCTGCAGCAAGGCGGCTTGCCATCGTTGCACCAGGGTGGCCTGCCAACACTGCAGTCGCAAGTGAACATGAGCGCACATGTGCGTCACCTACCAAGTAGGTGGAGGTTTGCTCAACAGATGGTTGCGTGCACGTCGCGCACGTGATGCACATTGCGCAGATGCCAGGTTGTATAGCACATGATGCTGATTCCGCAGGTCGACCTTCGTCAAATCCGCATGGGGCGAAATTGGCGCACCTGCAGAATCTCGCCTACTAATGATGTTTGGTCGACCAGAATGAGGCCGCTCATCCGACGTCGATGATCGACGGTTGGTCGACGCCCATATGTCGGCGCCATGTCGACGATCACCTTCGTCGACCACATTGGCTCGACATCGTCCGCCGGCTTCACTTCGCTGGCCAACATCTCATCAACTTCACTATGGTTGCTTCGCTCTGGTCGGCTGCTATAGTCCCGCCCAATTCGACGAACCAATCTCTTCGACTTCCTCCTCAAAGTCGACGTTGACCACATAACGTAGCCGGCTGCACACCTAACGCACTGGACAGTAAGGCCAGCTTCGCCCAAGTGAGGGGCGGGGTCTTTTCTCATCGACATCCCACCATGCACGCCTACAAGCAGACGAGCCAACTCGTCCAGCCCCGCTCCCTGAATCAGCACCTCGTGCTGCCCCTTCTTGCTTACTTCATGTGTGTGGGTGCAAGGATGCATGGACGGAGAGGGAGGGTAGAGAGAAAGAGAGGGCATGGGAGGGGCAGAAGGTGAACATCCAACACCCCTCCGTGAATCAACACCTCTTGCCCCCCCCTTCTTGCCTACTTCGTATGCATGGATGCATGGGTGCATGGCTTCGCCCAAGAGAGGGCGGTTTCTCGTCCACACTCCCCTGCCCAGCTCAATCTTGGGCACACACACTCTCAAGGTCCACCCAAGGAACCTACGTAATAGAATACAAGGGGGATACTACGCCGGCGTGCAAACCCCGCTCACCGCATCAGCCATGTTGAAGGACATGGCGCCTACTCTGCACATCGTCGACGTCGATGTCGGCAAGGTGGACTTGCCCGACAACGACACAGCACTGGTTGAATGCTGGAAAGTGCAGTGCCGGATGTGCAGTGCCTCCGTGAGGCAACCTGTCGGCTGCTCGGTCGTCAGAACTTACCGCAGCGCAATCTTCTTGCACTTCACCATCTACTGCAGCCAGACGTAGCGTCGCTCCATGTGCTTGATGTCAAATTATATGTTTACTGCTATCTAGGCTGTAGTGGGTTTAGGCTTAGGGGGTACAGTAAGTTGCTCGACACTTCATTGTATCCCCCTCCTTGCCCTAATCCATCTCATTCCTTCCTACCTATCTCAACATGGTATTAAGAGCCATTAGGTCCTTAGGACCAGATTTCTAAAAGGGCCCACCGTTAAGTCTTCGATTTCCTGCCCGAATCGCGCCCCTAGGCGCGTCACCTTTTTATCCTGCCTGAATCGCGACCTTAGGCACGTCGATTTTCTGCCCGAATCGCGCCCCTAGGCACGTCGGTTTTCCTGCCCAAATCGCGCCCCTAGAAGCGACGGTTTTCCTGCCCGAATCGCGATCTTAGGCACGACGAATTTCTGCCCATATCGCGCCCGTAGGCGTGTCGATTTTCCTGCCCTTCCAGCGCGCGCCTGCCCTGCAAACGCTACCCACGCGCTGCCCTGCCCCGCCCGCGCGCGGCTGTCCTGCCCTGCCCTACGCGCTGCCCTGTGCCGCCCGCGAGCGCCTACCCTACGCGCTGCCCTGCGCCGCCCGCGAGCGCCTGCCCTGCGCTCTGCCAGCGACCCGCACCCGCTCTAGCCCGCCCTGCCCTACGCGCTGCCCTGCGCCGCCCGCGAGCGCCTGCCCTGCGCCCTGCCAGCGACCCGCACTAGCGCTAGCCCACCCCTACCCAGCATCCCGCGCGCTGCCCTGCCCTGCAGCCCGCGCGACGCCCTGCCCTGCAGCGCGCGCGCTGCCCTGCCCGTGCACCCGCTGCCAGCGCCCTGCCAGCTGCTGTGCCTGCGCGCTGCTTGCACAGCCAGTGCGCTGCCCGCACACTGTCTGCGCCGCCTGCGCGCGCCTTGCCTGCGCTGCGGCTGCTGCTAAGATACTGCTGCCGCTTGCCTCGAGCGTGCCCTGCCCTGCCGTGGGCTGCTGCGCTGCTGCTGTGCTGCTGCTGGCGACTACTGCTGCTGCCGCTAGGCTGCTGCTGCTGCTAGGCTGCTGCTGCCGCCTGCGCTGCTGCTGCCACCTGTGCTGCTACTGCTGCGCTGCTGCTGCTGCTCAGCTGCTGCTGCCACCTGTGCTGCTGCTGCTGTGCTGCTGCTGGTGCTGCTGCCGCCTGCGCTGCTGCTACTGCTGCGCTGCTGCTACTTCTCAGCTGCTGCTGCTGCTAGGCTGCTGCTGCCGCCTGAGCTGCTGCTGCCACCTGCGCTGCTGCTGCCACCTGTGCTGGTGCTGCTGCTAAGCTGCTGCTCCTGTCTGCGGTGCTGCTGCTGCTGCTAGGCTGCTGCTACTGCTAGGCTGCTGCTGCCGCCTGCGCTGCTGCTGCCACCTGTGCTGCTACTGCTGCGCTGCTGCTGCTGCTCAGCTGCTGCTGCCACCTGTGCTGCTGCTGCTGCGCTGCTGCTGTTGCTAGGCTGCTGCTGCCGCCTGAGCTGCTTCTGCCGCCTGCGCTGCTGCTGCCACCTGTGCTGCTGCTGCTGCGCTGGTGCTGCTGCTAAGCTGCTGCTCCTGCCTGCTCTGCTGCTGCTGCTGCTGCTGCTGCTGCTGCTGCTGCTGCTGCTGCTGCTAGGCTGCTGCTGCTGCTAGCCTGCTGCTGCCGTCTGAGCTGCTGCTGCCACCTGCGCTGCTGCTGCCACCTGTGCTGCCGCTGCTGCCGTAACTGCCGCTCCTCCTGCTTGCTGTCGTTCCTGCTGCTATGGCAACTCCCACTGTTCTAGCCTTAGACACAGTGGGGCACCCTCTAGGGTTCGACTCCTGGCTAGAGGGGCTGCACCTGTACCTCCATAGTGTCACTCGCGACGACGTCTCACTGTTCGAGTACACGTCGGGGTCTCTTCAGGCCCCCACGGCTCCTGCTGAGCCTGCTGCTGACGCTGGGGAGGAGGTGCGGACGCAGTTCCGCGCAGCTCACATTGCCTACAAACGGTGGATGGCGCGAGACGCCGCCGCCACACTTGCAGTCCGCCTTCACCTCTCGTTTGACCAGAGAGCCAACTT